TTTTAGTACTGCTTTAGCTAAATAATAGCACTGATTAGAATGGTTAGGTTTCTTGAGCATCTACAGAATGTTAGGCTTGTTTCATACTGTATTTGCCAGGTTTGCTAAGGTGGCTTACGACAGTTTTATGTATTTCTGTCACACATTACCTGAGAGCTGCAGAGCCGTAAACTCCAGCCTCTAAAGAGGAAAAGACACCTGAGTGGTAGAAAGGTTGCTGTCTTCAGCTCTAGAGCCTCTGTCTCTTCAGTTTGGACCCAAGGGCCCACCGTGCATCTAGTATTTCTGGACATTCTGCTGCCCGTGCACAGAAGCCTGAAAGTCCCTGTTCCTTCTCCACCTCCCTGCTCTTCCTACAACTCCCTCCCTTCTCCTCCTCTTGCTTCTTTTCTCTCTTTCCCTCCATCTTGTTTCTTCATTCTCTTCTCTCCTTCTTCATCCTTCCTCCTCTTTCTCTTCGTTTTCTTCTCTTAGGGTCCACCTTTTTTTTTTTATTCTTGCCCTGTGCCCTCTACTTCTTTTTTCTTTTTCGTTGTCTCTTACTTTCTTTTTCCTCCTTCCTTCTCCTCATTTCTTGTAATTCTCTACTTGTTCTTCCTCCTCTCACTTCTACTTCTAGGAGGGGTAAACTTGCTCAAGAAGAGAAGCTGAATGCCTGAGGGCCACAGAAAGTGGCAGATGCCATTGCTCTTGTCCGGGTTGCTACCTACAGACATCCTTAGACCCCCAGGGCACCTTCGGGATTATCCAGGGTCTGAGCCTGTCCACTCCTGCACCTGTTCAGCAAGACCTCAACCTATGCTCTTCAGCTCTGGGTCCCCTCAGCCTCCCAGCCCACTCCCAACCCTGACCCTAGGAACAGCTCACACTGCCATGCTCTAGTACATGTTTACCAGTGAACTCTGCAACCACACAGGTTACAGGAGGAGGTGGGGGTAGGGAGGAGCCCAGATGTTTAACATTTGCTAATTTCTGTCATGTTAACGTTCCCACTATGGCTGCTTTCAAGCTACTAACCTGACATCACCGAATGAGGAGCTAGAAAGACATGCTCACAACAGACTCGCACAAACGAGTCAAACCCACAAACACACAAGGAGGGCCTCACTAGCCTCGGCCTACGTGCAGTCCTACTGCCTTCCCCCATTAATGCAGATGTTTGGTGTTTTGGAGTTAACCACTAATGAATGGATTACTGTAATTTGAAACGTCAGATGTTTGTTCACTCATTATTTAACAGATACTCATTTTTTAGAATGGTCATTGGAATAATTAAAAACAGCAGTATATAATAATTGCCACACCACCACCTTTTAGTTCAACTAAATAAAATTTAGCTGCAAATACTGCTCCCAAAATTGCAGCCTTTTCAATGATTTGTAAACCCTTTTACTTATGAGTCTGAGCTCGATCAAAATATCACTATAAATTGACAGCACTTTTGGGTTATAGATATAAAGTCTCGGTTAATATTCAGTTAAAACATAGAATATCATTCTGTCACCCTATCTTTTTTATTTGTATTCTACAGCATCTCTGGTGGGTTTTTATTATTTTTAAGTAGCTTCACATTATGTTTTATGATACATTTCTTCCTGCAACAGTTTTGCATACAGATGGAAATGTTGGGAATCTAGTTTAAGGCTGATCTTATTTTTTTATTCTGTTATGTGATTGATCTGGTCAGTGAACAAGAAATTCTTCGAGGCCATCCATCACTCCAGGCAGCAGCTGAGCTAAACCTTCTAACTCACTGCTTCCAGTCAGTCATGCAAGCTTCGGGTTATAAATATTGAATGTGCAAACAACTGTTTAAATTAGCTGTCCTATCTATTTTATGCAATTTCAGTAGAAAAGCAAGCTGATATATTGTTTAGTGGCAAGAAGTAGAAGACAGTGAATTCAGTATTATCCTTCCATACATCATTGAATTCATCCTGTTGGCAAATATTTAAAATAGATCAAATTAATTCCTGTTCCCTAAAGTTAAATTAGAAATAAGGCGACTGAGCATGTAATTTATGTAGCTTTTTTGGTTTTTATATTCAAACAGTAGCAAGACTGTTAATAATTGTAAATGTAGCCATCTGTCATAAATATAGTAGCCAATTGTTAAAAACATAGTTCTGTGAATTTTGTTACCTCTTTGCAATAACAAAAATAGCTTAATATTTGGAAAATATTTGGGCAGGAAGGAAAGTAGCAGCTGTCTTGTCCCACCATTCCTGGTAAGCATCTAGAATATTGAACATGTGCAGGTGTTTGTGCTTCTGCTACTTGGACTTGTAACAAGTGGGCATACTTTCACTAGTATTGATATACAGAGTAGATAAAATTGCCAACCATTTGTAGTGACTTCTAGGAGCCTTTTGTATGTGATGAATTTAGGTAAACTTCCAAATTGCTATTTGTGTTTTAAGTTCATCCTTCAAATTATACTATTCTGGGAACATCCTTTCAAATAGCCCACATTAATAGCGTACATGAACTGCCTACAAATGAGAAAAGTATATCTCTCCCTCATAGGCATGCAGGGTGTTCAGCATGTGTCTCTTAGCAGTTGGGTTGCAACCTAATAGAAAAGCTGGGCAAGATTTTATGTTACTTCTTGTGGCGAACACTGCTCATCACCCTCCCAGATCCTTGGTTCTCTCCTTCCTTTAGCAGAATTTTGGTCAGGATGGCAGTGAACCCAGCTAAACAGACGCACCTTCCTGTACTCCCCTATGGCTAGAGACAGTCATGTGACCTAGTTCTGGCCAATGAAATGCGAGTGGAATTCACTTGGCAGTACTCCCCCGAAATCTTTTTAAAATGGACACACTCAGCTAACTTGTTCCTTTAGCCTATGTCCTTTGGCACTTTGCTCTTGCCTTGTTTTCTGCTCCAAATGTGAATACAAGGCGTGGAAGCACAGCAGCCTTCTTGAGAGTATGACTGCAAAAGCTGTATATGAGGATGGCACGGGGGAAAATGGAGAAAAAAGCTGGGTCCCTGATGGCATTACTGAGCCACTAACCTGTCCCCAACTGCCAGTCCTTAGACCTGAGTGAGTAAATAAGCCTCATTTTTGTTTAAACCACTATTTTTCAGCAATACTTACAGTCTAACACATCCCTAACTGATACACTTCTCTTTCTGAGTTATCTAAGTCTTCGTGAAATGATGCATTGTGTTTTTTAAAACATCATCTACTTTGGAATTACAACAGTCAACTTTGACGTATGTCCATATGTGAAAATAAGTTGAGCCAAGATTGCTGTATTAATAAACTGCATGGTTGATAAATGTAAAAATGGTATTGTGTAATAATTTTAGTCATAAAGACCACAGTTTCAGGATAAAGCTCAGGGTTTTCTTAATGTCATCTCTCAAATCTTACTTCCTTTTGTCTTTGATCAATTCCTGTCATCTTTTCTCACCCTTCAAGTGCTCATAGTCAGGTAGAGGCTAATTTATAAACAATAATAATGTAGTGTTATTTCTAGGTCCTAGAAATATTTGTCACAATTGTAAATCTGATTTCATTATTTCCCTGCTTAAAAGCTTTCTGTAGTCTTTGATGTGGTATTAAAGGCTTTCTCATTCTGGCTCCAGCTGTCTTATCCAATCACATCTCCTTCCTGCCTCCCTCCCTTTCTCCCAACATATTCCCTCAGCCCTGTGCTGTTTAAAACCACTGGACTTCTGGCAGGATCCTGAAACTATACCATACTTCCTTTCTTTCATGTCCTCCCTTATCCCGTCTCTTTTCTCCATCTGTGAACACATCCCACTCATTCCAAAGAACTTGAGTTCAGATGTCTTTCTCTTTGAAGCTTTCCCTGACTCATCTAACTTCATCTTCCATGCTTTCTGTAACATTCTTTTTATGCTTCTATTATAGCACTTATTAGATTGGTTTATATTTACTTATCAGTCTGTCTTTCCCAGGAGACTAAAGTTCCATGAAAAGATGAGCTAGCTATACTTTGTTTTGCAGCTTCAGTATCTAAGTCAGGATCTGGAATGGAGTAAATACTAAGAATTTTTTATGTTTTTAGAACAAGAAAATTAAAAAAAATTTTCTGCCCCTCTCCTTGAGTGCTAAAATTATTTACGTGTTTATTAATGTATCCCTGTGAAGGAAATGCTGCCAGCAATAGAATATTCATCAATTATATAACAAATAATCATCCATCTGAGTCATCCCTGCATCTGCTTTTTTTGAACCATGACTGACTTTCTTATGTCTTTAATTTTTTTATGACATACCACACATTGCATGTAAAGAACAGTAAAGCCTTAAGTAAATAGCATTCACCTCCACAAAGAACATACCGCTTCTTTTAGACTAGTGGAGGAAGCCGGGACAGAGTCAGTTCATGGTTGGGCTGGGGCAGGGCTCTGAAGCTTGAAGCTTCCCTGTGAGTCAGTTTGTTACAAATCCTTTGAGGGCAAGCTCAGATCCTTCCCTTCAACAGGGCTTGAGCTCTGACCACTGGCAAGATTTAGCAGATTCATAGACACATGGCTTTCCAAACTGTAAGAGATCTCTCTCTCCTTTATAGTCTAGATGCCAAGTCTTTGGGCCCCTAGGGAGTTCTCTTTGTTCTCAGTCCTGTGCCTGGCTTTCTGTGCCTTGGGAGATCTGTTTTTCCCCTGCTCCCTGACCCAAGCCTACTGAGGAAGGCTGCCTTACACTCTGTGAAGGCCGAGAATTCCTTGCAGAGTTCTCTCTCAGCTGTCCTGGTCACCCCTAGCCTCCAGAAGCTGAAATCCCAGAGCACCTTAGATGAATTTCCCTTCACTTTCTAGTTCCACCTTGTAGATTCAGTAAACTACCCCCAGCCCTTGGTGGAGACCCATGGGAAAAGGTTGTCAGACAGGCAGAGACTTGCTTTGCAGGGGGACCTATCAGCATTCTGATCCATCACTCAGCCTACATGCAGCTATGACAAGCTAGGCTGATTGCTCATCTCCATCTATAGCCGATTCTTTGTCTTCCTTCTGACATGCTCCAAATAAGAACAGCCACTGGCCATTGGCTTCTCCTTTCCTATGAAGGGCTCATGCACTTCTGGAATTTAGTTCAGGTAGGTCTCTTTGCATCCCTAGCTCTCTGATGGGTTTCTGAAAACTATGACTTCATAGTTTATCGGGCTTGTTTTGGTTGTTGGGGTGAGAATAACAGTCTTTAGCCTCTTTCTACATCCTGACCTCCTTCTCTCCCCTTCCATCCTTCTATTCATCCATGCTTATGTGTGTATATATACTACAAATATATATTAAATACTTTCCATTGATGAGTAACACTGTATCCTATATATCATTTCCCTTCCTCTACATCCTCAAATTATCAAAAGGTACATCCTTATTGCATTCATTACATGTAGAAGGAAATAGTTTCAGCTTTCTTAAGGAAACAAAAGGTTCTTTTCACTGAAACTCACATTTTTTTTTTTACCTATTTCAGTGTGTCTAGGATATTTTGCAAATAACAGTTTACTAGTTCATATTGTCTTTTAGGCTTCATCAAATATAGAAATGAGAATAATCACTTAAATTTGATGAGTTCACAAATAATATAGTTGTTATTGACCACAGGAAGATGAAGAATCAGATGATGAAAACATGCAGTTACATTAATATATTGAAACTTTGATGACAATAAGAGCTAATGATAGTTCTGCAATACTTATCGCCTGCCTAGAAAATAGAGTGGTGGCATATTAAACATGATGTTATCAGTATTTCATATCAGTTGAGTTTATCTAAACTGGGTAAAGTGATATAAAATGACTGAATACAAACGTGAAGTTTATTTATTTATTTATTTATTTTTTTAAAGATTTTATTTATTTATTTGAGACAGAGAGAATGAGAGAGACAGAGAGCACATGAGAGGGGGGAGGGTCAGAGGGAGAAGCAGGCTCCCTGCCGAGCAGGGAGCCCGATGTGGGACTCGATCCCGGGACTCCAGGATCATGACCTGAGCCGAAGGCAGTCGCTTAACCAACTGAGCCACCCAGGCGCCCCAAACGTGAAGTTTATATAAAAATTACATAAGAGCAAAATTTGAAGATTCTGTGAGAGCAAAATTCATATATGATATACTTTGAGCATGTTATAGTCTCTCAATAGAGTGGTACTGACCACAAAACACAGAGATGTATAAGAGGACTTCACATCAGTTAACTTTTTTTGCATAACAAACCACTCCAAGATTCAGTGGCTTAGAAGTATTATTATGTATGATTTCTCATGCATCTAAGGGGTGGGTTGGAGTTGGCTGATGTTGGCTGGGCTTGTCTGGGTAGCTGTGCTTGAGGCGATAGGGGGCAGTTGGCCTGTACACAGCCCTCTTGTGCTGCAGTACAAGGACCCCATCATTCTGCTGAAGGGGACAGATAGAGTTAGGGGAGCTGGCCAGGTGCCATATGACACAGATGGTCAAGCAAAACAAAGACGAGCACACACTGAGTCTGAAACAGGGAAAGGTATTCCCACACAAGGTGACAAGTCCAGCACAGACTGAGAACTTCCTTTATTTCTTGATAAGGAAGTGTTCCAGGCCCAAGGTCCATTCTTAGACAGCTGACAAGGGGTCGAAGGATTACACATGTGAGTCGGCCTTTTCCAACAGTATTTTCACAAAGAGTGTCAGTTAATCCCGTGGGTCTATTAAGAGAACTTCCCTTGTATTTAGTTTACGCAAAAACCAATTTTGAAAGTCCTTAGTAATTGGGGCAATGCAAGGGAAGTTAGAAAATCTTCATCCTATTGTTCTTTTAATTACAGGCTCCTCTGCTTTCTTCCTGCACGTTAGTTTCACACCTCTCCTGGAATGCTCTACAGAGGCGAAATTAGGATTGACCCATTTTTACCATCATCAGGCATAGTCTGTCACTTAGATACATTGACTGCTCCATTTTCATATCATGTCTGGAAAATAGAAACAGATGTTTTCAGGCTTGCCCCACTAACATGAGATTTCATCCGTGTCTAGACATACTGCCATCGCCAACACTGTGTCTCTGATATTCTTAACTTGGATCTTTTATGGGGATATGTATGGGTTGCTTTGGCATATATGTGACTGTTGGTTTAAAAAGGTATAGAGTAGTACTATAAATATAGTCCAACTATGAAAGTAGCCTGTAGCTTGCCTATTGTGAAATGGTTCCAGCTCTCCAAATATTAACTCTGTGTCTGAATCTCTTGAATAGATGAGGTTACATAACACCTGTAAGTTTCATGTAAACACCAACAAGTTTCTGGCTAAAAGATCTGTGTAGCAAATCTTCATTTCTTTCTCTCCTATTCAGAACTTCTGTTAGAACTATGACACCTGCTTGCCCTGCATACACCTGTTCTATCTGTTGTCTTGGGGGAAAAAAAAAAAAAAGGAGAAATAAGAAACTAGGTTGTTAGAATGCATAAAATCAGTATCTTGTTTCAGATGACTGAGAATCTTATATACAGCATTTCATAATTCTTAAAACCTTTCCATTTTTTCCCCTCCCTTCTGTGCTGCATTTTTAGTATGGCTAATCAGTACATTTCCCACCCCCTCCAAATTCTGGTAGCTCTTAAAATACTACAGAATAGATCTTTTGATTCATCATATAACCACAGAAAAGAACATAGGATTTTTCCATCAGAAATCCTGGATGTCTTACAACTTTGTTATTAAACCAAGACTTTGGGCAAGTGATTTCATTTTTTTAGGAGCCCCAGTTTTTTTATATGTAAAAGGAGAAAACGCCTACTTAATGTGAGGATTAAGTTTGATGATAAAAAGAAAGTGCTTTTCAAGCTGTACAAATGTTAGTTCTTGTTAAAAGAAGGTCACAAGTACTCTCCTTTTCGTATAAACTTTCAGTATCAGCCCCTTGGGTAAGGGAGAAAGATGAAGAAAAATAAAACCAATCCCAGTTGATAAGCCCAAGAACATTGATTTGCCATCCCTCACTACACCTGGAGACCACACCAAGTTGATCAGATTTGTGGCTAAGAGTAGGAATAATAGAATGTAAAATTTAGAAGTGCTCTCTATGTTAATTTGTCAGTAACTTGCATTGTTGTTGGTTTTTTTCCCCCTCAAGGTGTCCAGGATGCACTTCATTATTTCTTATAATCAAAATTGTAGCATTATCAGTGATAGTTCTTAAAGCATAAATTACTAGGTAGATTTTTTTTAGAATTTGAATTTTGAGTGAGACTTTAATTAGTATTATGTAGTGCCTAGCACATCATAGTCGCTCAATAAAATGTAATGAATGAGTGAGTGAATGACTTCCCATTTAAAAATACTTCTACCAGCTCTTCTCACATAACACCATTTTAGTTATGCTGGATATAAAGTCCATTGTTAAGAAACATTCATTTTTCCCATTTCTCCCCTTTGTTCAGAAATTGGAGATGTGACCTCCTGAGTTGGGACCAGGTAGCCGTTAGGGAGTTCATGTTTATTCAGCACATGTGTGTGACAGATGTTCCTGTCAGCATCTTGTCAACCACTCTGGAGTAAGAGGTATTTGAGTTCCCTTTTGTAGATGAGGAAACCGAGATTCTAAGAGTATCTTTCCCAAGGCTTCTCAGCAGGTTAAAAAGTGGGATCCCAATCAGTTATGTCAAGCTCTGATGGTCCATATGCTTTTAATGGCATTGTTCTGTCTCCTAGGCAATGGTTAAGACGGTGGCCGAGCACGTGGCATTTCAGTACACTACAAGTATTTGAAAATGCCAGAAGTCCTAGCCTTGTTTAGTAGTTAACCTTTTCTGTTTAGAATGTTCTCAGTTTTGGAATCCTGTCTTTACCACAAGTCACCTTTGTGTCCTTCCCCTCAAGCCACACTACTCGGCAGAGGGCCAGGGGAGCCCCTGACTCCTAGGAGACCAGAGAGTAACATCAGGAGCTTCCCTTTCCTCCCAGAGGCCACCCCTCATCGGAAGTGCTGCCTGGCTGGTTCTCTGCTTTTGAGAGATTAGAGGAAGACTGTCTTCTTCAAAGGCCAAACCACCAGTCGTCAGGGTTACTACCCCCTTTCTTTTCTTGTCGATCCACATTGTCCTATAGAGGCCGTGTACAGGGCCCTGCCTTCACTGTGATATCAGAGTCTTCATGCAATAAGTGTCGAGATGAAGTATGTAAATTATAACTTACTGGGCTGTGTTAATTATTTTAACACTGATTTAGACTTTCTGGGTCCTCTCTTTCCTTCTGTTTCCATTCAGCAGGCTTCAGCCCTTTGAATTGACTCTTTCTCACTCTTATTTCTTTGATTCCAATATGCAACCTAGTTTTAGTAACATTTAATTTTTTAAGCCTCTTGGGATTAATAGGGGAATTCTTCCTTTTCATCCTCTAATTTAAATCCAGATTTCTCTGTTCCCCATCACGTTCACATCACCCAGTTTACCTGTCTCCATGGGTGATATCCTTTTATGGCTAAGTTTCTAGTCAATGCCCTAAGTTCTACTTCAAAGTGGTGGTATTTCTCCATAAATTATTCACCTAAGCCCCATCCCAGCTGGTGCCCCTTGAACTCTGTTCCAGGAGCTCCCCAAATGGACCTTCGTTTTTGGAGGGACATAGTACTCTGCTCTGCTCTCTGGAAACAGAACCCCTAATGTGGTTCTTCACATTCTGCCCACCCTCCAGTTTGCCTCCCGTTCTGTCTCTATTTCTGTCAGTCTGACTCCTCCCACCATCTCTCACATCCCTCCTGGACTCTTCCTGAGTCCTGCTGTCTCATAAACTGACAGGCCCTGATCCTGAATATGTTTCCAGTTTCCTCCATCAGTGTTCCCAAATCTCCTAGCAGGCACCACAGCCCCTCCCTGTCCACCTTGGTAATGGTTTATTTCCAGATCTTATCATCAGGTCATTGTTTCTTCTCCTGAAAAAATTAACACAAGCATCAGTGTCGTTACCCTTATCACAGCTCTCTTTCTCTGACCCCAGCCTAATTAGACTGCTAAAAATCTTGACTGGCATTTTGAAGCTGAAACATTTCTTCTTCACCCTGTACCTCTACCTTAAGCTTTATCTACACCCCATCCTGGTCATCACAGGGAACTCATGCAAATG